TCACATGAAGTAGCACTTGTATTTTGGCGTTATTATTGCACATTTGTCTTACGGTTGCGTCAAGCTCGCCGTATTGCAGTTCTACAAGCGCATATTCGCAGTTCCAACATTCGTCCTATGCGCAAACATTGTCATTGCTATCGTAATCCTTTTCATGATAGCCGCCACATTTGTAAGTCAATCCCAGAGGCATTTATATCGCGGTGCTGTCACAAAGTGATCACACGCTTACTTCTTATCCTACAGACCCAGATATTTTCTGCTTGGCCCATCTACAACTGGTGGACCTTGGGCAAGACTTATACTATCAACTACGGCGCATTCCTCACCTCGTTTGCGGCCATCGATCTCGCCCTCGACATCACGATCCTGTGTCTTCCGATACCCATCATTCGAAGTCTGCACATGGATAGGAAACGGAAGTTTTTACTGCTGGGCATCTTCTGGTTGGGCTTCTTGTAAGATCCTTAAGTATATCATACTAGAGGCATAGAAACTAATGTGAATTATAGCTGCGTCGTGGCAACTATCGTTCGACTTTATTTCGGTTACAAGTTAAGCGAGGCCGGATCTGGACGGCCTGTATCCGACGAAGAGTTCTCCTGTAAGCACTAGTCGCCGGCCCCCAACCTTCAACTCGATCAGATCACACCCGCTAACTAATGCCAGACGTTTCCGTAAACAACGTTATTTGGGCTGAATTGGAGAGTTGCTGTTCCGTCATTGCTGGCTGTCTACCCACCTATGGTCCGCTTATACGCTCCTTCTCTTTCGCCGAGTTCTTTACTGGCATTTTCCACTCGCTACGTAGCACAGTGAAACGTAAAAGCGTCAATCAGTCTAGTAAAGGCAACCAGAAGGATATATGGTATCCGCTCTCGGAAAACCAGGGCAATTCAGCAATAGTCGAGAACAATAGCGAAAGTAGATTAACTTGAGGCGACAGCATTTTACCATGCTAGCTAGGCTCGTTGAAGAAGGAAGAAGAGATCTTCAGACAGATGGACACTTTTAATAGACGAAATGACCAGGTTCCCTTCATGGGCGAACTGTGATACGGGCACCAGAACGTTGAGCCGATGAGGCCTGTAGGTTCTGAGCCAGGCGTTAATCCTAGTCGTCATGATAGGGCTGAGATCATGCGACAAAATACCCAGCTTGTTCAGTGGTAGTCATATCAAGAGCGTTAGTCGGTCTAGATAAAAGTTTGATGGTCCACCTGAACTATACTATATGGAGGTTAGATACCCGAACTACAGTTCACCTATCACCCAGCTTCGAGTATCTCTTCAACATGTTGTAGCTAGGGAATACAATGATCTTTGAATGATTAATTGTCTTAAACTGTGCCTACCATTGTTGGGTTTCTGGAGTAAATGACCACATGGGCCCAAGATATTGGACGATGGGGGGCATATAACTAAAAGCTTGCAATATTTCTATACTACCCCTCACCAAGTTTGAATGGAAATTGTCGTGCGTGCGGCTACTCACTGATTTCAGATGGCTGTAGAGACATTTTTCAACCTCCCTTCGATCCGCGCCTGCATATTCGACATGGACGGGCTTCTGATCAATTCAGAGGACATAATCACACTATCAATAAACCAACTTCTCGAGAAATACGAAAGGCCCCCCTTGACTCGGTCCATCCGGACTCGTCTCATGGGCATTCCAAACTCGACGAACGGGGACTTATTCCACAACTGGGCCACGTTGCCCATCTCCCGGGAGCAGTTCGCTCGCGAGTCAGCTTCGCAGATGCGACATAACTTCTCCAGCTGCGAGCCGCTTCCCGGCGCCGTAAAGCTGCTAGAAAACCTTAGCCATGCGCGTAACGCATCCGGGGATATCATACGGCTAGCTCTGGCACCCGGTACCAAGACGCGCTCTTATCAATTGAAAACCTCCAGGCCGGAAACGGAACGGCTCCTCGGCTTCTTCCCGCCTGACCGGCGCGTCCTGGGCGATGATCCGCGAGTACGGGGACGGGGGAAACCGGCCCCTGATATTTACTTGGTCGCCTTGCAATCCCTGAACTCGACATTGGACCAAGGCGAGAAGGATATCAGACCTGACGAGTGTCTGGTTTTCGAAGACAGTGTGGTCGGGGTGGAAGCGGCAAGGCGGGCTGGGATGAGGGTTATTTGGGTACCACATCCGGATGTGGTGGCTGAGTATCAAGGAAAGGAGAGAGGAGTGTTAGCTGAGGGGATTGAGATAGCCGAGGCCGGGGACGATCGGCAACTAGGAAGTATTGATGATACATGGGCTGAAAGTATGCCGACGCTTGAAACCTTCGATTATGGTAGATATGGCATTACCGTATTGCCCTGATCACCCTTGGTAAAGAATTATTGCTGTCTGATGTGAGAGTAGGTATATTCTAGTCGAAGGGGGGCAACTAAGGGGTAAAGCACGGTTTCCCTTTCCCCTGAATTGGAGTTGAGGTTATTTTCTTGAAACAGTTTAGGAAACCCATACCAATATGTCACCAGGAGGATTTTCGAATTATCTCTGCAATCAAGGATTGTGAAATCTAGCTGGGAGGAATTACATACATTTATTGATTCCGACCCCGGGACAGTGGTTTTTGGGTAGAAGCTGTCACGGCTAGGATCAGAACCGACTCCAAGGTACCGGCAGAAATAGCTCTATAGACGAAGATTCTAAGCTGAGGAGGGAAAAGAGGCTATCTACGTCTACAGGAAGCGGGAGCATTTTATACATGATGGCTGGTGGTCTAGAAGCTTGTAGAGCTTCTAGAAAACTGTAGCCTAAGATCTGTAGCCTAGAAGCTACAAAGCAGTCTTAGGTTGAAGGGAGATGTACAAAGACTGCAGCATCTCTCTTAACAGCTGTAGATCGAACAAAGATTGCCACAGCTCGTCACAGAAGCTACTTGATTACACGCCTCTACTAAACTAGCCCTATGCCGATTACCATATCAATCTCAAAACTGTATTCAAATATCTGAAAAGAATGACGTGGCTAGTTGGGGCCAAAATGGAACGAAGATGCGTCCCTTTCAGACACCCTTATCCCGTATACCCAAGTTCCCCTTTCCATATATTCCCATACCCTTACGTCGTTTCAATAACGCACAGCTTCATAAATATAAGGTTATTTCTCAGAGTCCTCGTTCGCTACCTTTAGGGTTCCAAGAGTATAGAGACTGGGCTCTTCGTTATCAGCATTTCCCGAGCGTTTGGGTTCATAGCCGAAACCACCTGGAGGGTAGGTTGGGGAGTCCTCCTCGGAGCCCGCTCTAGCCACCTTTAGTGACTCAAAGAATGAGGACATGTGATCATACAATCATGCCGCTAGATCAATATTGAATATAAATCAAAAGAACTGAGACAAGAATGCTCTAGGTTAGATATCGTAGTTTGTCTGCATAGCATCATCAAGTGAGTAACACCTTTCAGCCTGCTGCCTCAGATCTATTTGGATGTTTTTCGAGCGCGTCTGCGTGAACTGCGTGACGGCTCTTTCCAAACCGTTTCATCATAGGCTAAGACAATAGAAGTAGAAGCTAACTTGGAACCTAGGTAATAGCCCTAGTAGCTTCAGCAGCTTCTCAGGAAGGAGTGGGTTAGCATCCATTTGTAACTGCTAGTAAGATATGTATGGGAGGCATCATAGGACTCAAACCGTGTACTGTCCATCCCCCCGTCTCGAACTCTTTTGTTTCAATCTTTCGTCAGGAAACACCAGCGAGTGATTCCATGGCCATTTGGGTTAATGGTCCAATGATGAGTAGCTATTGTACGACTTTTCTGATGTCACCTGCAATTCTGAGGACAGTTCGAGATTAAATGCTTTTCTGGGAACATCTACTTCTATATGGCTTTGGCGGGCTTTCGGAGATGGCAAATAGGAGGTTTTAAAAAATATTTACGCCATCCATTACTTTGAGGTACATAAGCTTCGTTAGTGATTGAGCAACATGAAGGCACGAGAGCACTGAACCTTAAATTGAATAGCTTAGGGATAGTGTTTAAAGAGAGTTAAGTCGCTACTACCTAGGTAGGTAATCTCAATTCAATTGATGTTCTCTTTGAGCTGTTGTGAGCAAGTGCTGTGGGGGGGGGGGGGGGCGGGGGGGGGGGGGGGGGGGGGGGGGGGGGGGGGGGGGGGGGGGGGGGGGGGGGGGCGGT